ACGTACCCTCTTTTCCAGGCGCCTCGTTGTTCGGCCTATGTATCTTGCTCCAGTTGGTGCGTTTGGCAGTACCTGACGGTTGTCGTGTCTGATGGCGTAGGCTCTATCGGCCGAGGGTGGGGGAAGGGGATATGTCCAAATGGCGCTTGGGCAGGCGCGACTACCTGGACGCACGTGTGGGTCTGAGTGGAAGTCGGTCAAGCGTCTGCAGGTTAGTGTGTCCGAAATCGCTGGCTGAGATTGTGGATGACCTTGATGCAGTTTGCCTTGAACAAAGACGCCGGACAAAGCAATGGTGGGCGTCGGCTACACGCGTTTGGATTATTGTGGGCTAGTTGAAAGGCGATAACAAGCAGTAACTCTAGACTAAAAGCCGAAAAGAAGAAGAGGATACCTTTTTTCCGTAGGGCATTCATCAGCGTCATAATCCTTATTAGCATTCAGTGACCAATAACATCAAGGCAATCAATGCTTTAAACAGTAGTCCCAGCTTGGTTCCCCAGACCGAGGAATGTAATTTTTCAAATAGGGGAATAAAGACGAAGTAAACGGAGTGCATTTGTAAACGCCTGTCGTGACTAGCTCAAGTCAAAGTGCACTTTCGGAAGGCTCGCTGTTTCCGCCCTCTGTAACAGCCAATCACAGACCGACTCACACAGGACCTCATTTGCCGACTGCCGAGCAGACCTTACTTCAGACGCCGTCCGCTGGCTTGCAGTAGTGCGATCCCGTGATAGTCAGTTTCCTACTGCTTATTGTCCTATTCTGTATAGAATATACGCTCCCTTATAATCTGGCTTTCCCATGACTTCTCTCCACTCCTAAGGAACCGGGCCTGGAAGATCACAGCTATAAGGGTTAGACGTCCTTAGCCTTAACAAACCTCGATACCCCCACCCTTATAACAGCACTGGTGTAGGCGGATATAAATTGCAATTTATTTTAGAATTGGTTATTGATAACTTCGAAAGGTTTGAAATTCAATTTGTTGGTAGTAGCCATGTTGCATTTCATATAGCTGGGTAAATGTAAAAGTGCGTTGATGACTATTTGACCTGTGGGTATGGTGACTAGAAGAATGACAATCTTGGTCCAGAGATCTTCAACCGCGGACAATAAGCTCCGAAAAACAGCCTGATATTGCAAATCTGTTTGCCTGATGAATATTCAAACGGCAGACAAAAATTTACTGCTGATTTTCATCCGACTTCCTTTATTTTTCTCCGAAGTGTTCACTTCGCCTCACCGAATATATTTTATTAGAATGCCTCAAGGATGAAACGCCCACTCGTCATTTACACAGAAAATCCTAAAATGCTGCTTCAGTATCACGCAGTAATTCGTAGGTTGCGCAAAAAATACACCCATTGCGTAGCTGTCGGTTGATTGAACTGATCACCGTGAGAAAGGTGACCTTAAAACCATCCTGGTAGCGCCACGTGTGCTTTTGGGCTGCACTCGCAGAAGTTGAAGTATTTGCGATTCTCTACGACTTCAGGGAACCTCGCAGAGGAGATAAGACTTGGCCGTTTTAGGTGAACACGCATAAAACGCACAACATCTACTCTGTCGTAATAAGAATGTAAGAATGCAGAGCGGGGTAAATCCTCGCTGGTTTTAAGCTTTCGGCATCTTCTGTTGATGCTGTTGTGCGAAGGATGAATTTAAACCACGCTGATGGCTTGATGAATTTGAGAAAAACCCTCTGCGAACATCTGATGGATAGTTCGTCCTTCTAGCTTCCACATACAGGCTTGACCGTCCATCCTACGTAGGCATCCTTTGTAACTGACTACGAAATCTCTCATTGTCTCCTCTTTCGTTGCATTGCGGTAAATCCGTAAAGACCCGTAGAATACGAATCAGTTTACCCTTTCATGTAAGTTGACGCATCCTCAAGCTATACGCCAGTAAAGTAAGAAGGAGGTTGCCAATACAAGCGAACG